GAGAGAGAGAGAGAGAGAGAGAGAGAGAGAGAGAGAGAGAGAGAGAGAGAGAGAGAGAGAGATGTCCATGTGTGACACAACATCAATTATCTAAGAAGAAACATGTTGAGTCACATTTTTTTTCCAATTCCAATGCTACGATGATAGTACGGTCCAGAAGTTATTTGGAGGACTATGGCATTGTTGTCATCTTGATTTGCATATATGTGCATTGAAACTGCTAAATGGTAAAAAAACTGATATGAACAGAGCACATTGATTTAAAAAATAAAAAATTGGACCATTTCTCAATTTATGTGTGTCATCCTTGCGCAGGGCCAATGCTAATCTTCTCTGTATCGTTCCAATTTTTAACGGATGTCCCGAAGGACAGAACAGAGCACATTGAAACAATCAGACAGAGTAATGTTTTGTCATTACATCTCTGTTATAACTCCTCTTGAAAATTTTGTTTTGTTCCTTTCTTTCCTCCAGTCCTCCCCTTCTTCCTCTGGAAATCTCCTCTGATAGTATCGTCGCCCCCTTTTCATTATCGCATAATTTCTTTGGATGTAGGCGAAGCCACAGTGGCTCGTTTTGTGTACGAATGTTTGACTGCCTATCTCAAAGGACTAACGCTGACAACTGACTGCGAGTCACAGACCTGTCAAGTACAAGTTACAGAAACTGGATGCAGCTGCTCCTATCTATCCTAACCGGTCTGAAGTCAGCGACCAATGCCTAAGGCTAAACAGATGCGCATCTAGGGCATATAAGTCTGTGAATTTAGACCTATGTCCTTTCCTAATGAAACTGGCTTGATCTTACTGCAGTGGTGGCAGTGAATTTAAACTTGTGTTCTTTTGTGACTGCCTCATTGTGCTGCTATAATGTTTTCCACCCTATCCCTCTCTCCCTGAGCCCGACCTCTCTCTAATACCACTCTTATGCCCCTGCTGTTGTACAGACTCACAGTACCCTCTCTCTAAATCTAACCTGTCTCACAGTACTCTCTCCCTCTAGGAAAAAAAGCTCCGATCTATTTGTGGGGAGCAGCACATGCTGGGAATTTGACCCAGCGTCCCTTTCTGAAATTTACAGCATTACTGACAATACCGGGGCCATTACCCGTCTTCGGCTAAGGATGACAGAATCCATGAAAGCGTAAATGATGAGAACAGAGTCTTCAGCCCCCCACGGCCGCCTGGTACTCCCCATTACCCCTAGCTGTTCTACATCCCATACCATTGAGGTACCCTCTCTCTACATCTAACGTCTCTCTAATATCACCCCTATGCCCCTGCCCGTTGTACGGACTCACCGTACTAAGTCCCAGAGACATTTGAAATGGTGCAGATTACTAGGCCACTGTGCAAACACACATTTCGTGAAATGTGACCACTTTCCAAAATTATTCGTATGCCCCTGTCCATTACACAGACTCACAGTATCAAATCCCAGAGACGTTCCAGCCAATGCAGCTTACTGGTCCGTGGAAGCAGATATTGGTGCTGGGTAATGAGAAAGAGCATGGCAGAGAAGAGAGGGGACGCAAACACCATGGAGTTTGAGATGGTTGTCGGTCACCGACAAATGGGTCTCGCTTGAGATGATGATTTGTCAATGGTCAAAAGATATGTTTTCATGTCAGTTCAGAGTATTGCTGAAGGTGAACTTGCTTCAGCGCTGCCACTGACTGCCTTGTTTGCATGGGTGTCTGGTGCTGTGCTTTGTTTTTGCTTATCCTCGAAAACATTCAATGTGTGGTCGCTGGTGGGATGTCGAAACACACTCACATTCCCAAACGTGCTGCTACTGAAGATTACCGTGCTTCTTTATGGGTAAGCAGATCCAACCTACTGGGTAGTTGTGAAGACCGATGGATAAGATGGTTTCATGAGTAAAGCAGATATCAGTGGTTGAAAAAAGAAAAAAAGGAAAAAAGAACAATGTGTGGTTGAACATGGCTGAGCTTCATGTTCTTTCGCATTGCCAGGCTGGCAGTCACTGTATGGTTTTGTCAATGCAGATTTGTCAGGCAGGCACTCATGCTGCGTCAAACACGTAAAGCGGTCATGCAAAATGATGGTGGTTTGATAATGACATTCTTGTAGAGGTGCCAGCGGGCCTAGCTCAGTTGGTACACCCAACGAAATCTTGAAAATATAGACCCGAGTTGGAATCCAGTTGCAATCCGATGAACAGAATCAAGGAAGTGGTAGAAACAAAAAGGAAAGGAAGAAAGGAAAAAGAAAAAGACGTTCTTGTGGAGCCAAACTATCAGTGTCGTAGTGACTGAGCGTCAAGTTCTTCACGTTGTCGGATTGACAGTTACTGTATGGTTAGTGCCGATTTGTCAGGCAGGCACTCATGCTTTGTGAAAGACGTAAAGCTGTCACACAATGCAATGTCGGTTTGATAATGACATTGTTGTAGAGCAAGACTATCAGTGTCGTAGTGACTGTGATGTGTTATGACTATTGCAGTCTGTTGCACTGACGGCGCAGTTACCTAGAGGCTCACATCTGTCGACAATCTCGTAATAGGGCTGCGGGCATGGAAGTCCCTATGCTGTACCGATGATCAAGAATGCTGTCCTTCTGTTGATGTGAAACACAACTTTCGTACTATATGCGAAACAAGAGACAGTGTTTGTCGTCATTCTGCTTGGAGTTTCTTAGTAGTTCTGGGAAAACTAGATTATCACGCTGGATGGAAGTATGGAAGATATGTTTTTTCTGTGTGTCTGGTAGTATGGAAGTACTCGTACTTGTGTGGTAGTGTTGTAGGACCACGCAAAAGTTTCTTAGCAGTTCTGGGAAAACTAGATTATCACGCTGGATGGAAGTATGGGAGATAGTTTTTTTCTGTGTGTCTGGTAGTAGGAAGTAGTCGGACTTGTGTGGTAGTGTTGTAGGACCACACAGAAGTTGCCCTTTGTCTTCTATGTGCATAGAACTGCACGAACGGGAATTGGATGGTATGCATTGTGCAAGAGCTGCACAGCCTCTCCAGAATCTTACTCCGGAGAGGCTTTGTTTCAACTTGCATGCTTCTTCTTCTTCTTTGATTTTTTTCACTCTGTTCCGCTCTTTGTCTCTCCCCTCTTCTTCTTTTGGGTTTCAGGGTTTCAGGACTTATCGCATTTCTCGTGACTGTTAACTTTGCATTATGAATGTAGTAGCAGGATCATAACATGTGCTTCTAAGTTTCGTAACATCATCTTTCATTGAGGAATGAGCTCGGACTTCCGTTTCAACCATGACTCTGTCCACATTTGTTGAAAAGATATCACCGTTCTCCCCAGCATCAGTCCGTGACATGCTGTCTAGATTACCCCCAGCCCAGACCTTCGTATCAAGTCTAGCGTAGGCCAATGCTTTGCTGGGATGTGCTCCATGCTGTCCTTCACTGTCGAGATAAAGATTGTATCCTTTGGAAATTGTTGCGCTGAAATGCTTTCCCATAAATTGATAGCTTTTTGCCAGACTCTCTCCATATGATGGCAATGAACAATTGGTCAGCTTGATGACCGACTTTGCTAACTTATAACAGACGTGCAACCTGCGTAGCATCGCATTTGTGTCCGGTGACCGAACCCAAACGTTCTCAACCGAACGCGAACGAGCGCCAAAACCCTCCGAACGCGGACATTTGAAAAAAAAAAGAAAGTGTTATCAGAAAATTCTGAAAAAAATATATGTTATGTAAAATAATAATACAAACAACTTTTGCCTGGGAGGCTTGTTCAAATTCTTAGCCAAACTCGAGTTCAAAAAAAAAAAAAACTAAAAAAAATCGTTAAAAAAAAATATTCGACCAAACACGTTCAGGAGGTGTTCGGCCGAACACCCGAACATGTTCGGGTGTTTGTGAAAGCCCCGAACGCGTTCGATGTGCTACACATCATACAACTAGTGGGGTGTGGGTGTTATTTTCGCAGCCAATGTCATCATTCTTGTCATGCAAATTGCAAGTCTTGCTTCCTCTGACTTCATCTGTCTTCTGTTTCTCCATTCCGTCCCTCTCATCTGACCTGGATGGACCGATGCGAGGTTGAGGCATAGAGTTGTTTCACTCCAAATTTCCAAATTGTAGGCACAAGAGTAATGATGATGCTCGTCGACCTTTCTCTTTTTCCTCCCCTTTTTCCGGTGAGGCTCAGTTTCCTCATCTAAGGCATTAGGTGCGAGGTGGAATGATAGAGATGGCTACATCTAAGTTTAGGATATGCTCGTGTGGCTGACCAGCCTTATGGGCTTATACTGTTCTGGCTTCAATTGCCCTATTCTCGTAACTTATCCGCGTACCTCTCTGAGGTAAAGCTTCACGGGCACTGGTTCTCAGTCAGAGAGATGGAAAGTTAAAGTTGATGCAGCTCAGATTGTCATTTTGCATGGATGTGTATGTATGTTGATGTACTATTGTCTATGTGTATGTATGTGAATGCGTATTTCTAGTCATGTACGTGTTTGTGAAAGGAATCACGTCTTGGTCAAGTCCCATGTCCTGGTCCCAGAGTCCCAGTGGTCCCAGTCCCATGTACTATAGCCGAACCGGGAGGCGCAGCAGCCGGAATGCTGATTCAGGCCCGTAGGTCATTAGGAGTCCGAGTAGTTAGGAGTCTGGTAGGTCTGCTACCCAACAGGAAATGTCCAAGTCCCAGTCTAAATTTAGCAGCAGCATCCAAAGAAGGCCTTGTGACATCTGGAACCGGTACAATTGCGACCGACAAGCCCTGGGACACCGTTATCGGTCTGGAGCCTACAAAGATGTCAATTGCAGCTGCTATAGGGGCAGCTACCGTACCCGGGCCACTCACTTTTCTATTGGCATGTTGCAAAAGCGCTGCTGAATGCTTGTGTGACGGTTTGGTGCGACTGGTCGTGTGAACTGGCGGAGTAACCTGGTGCGAGGTGCCAAAGCTAGGACTAGCAAGGGAGGAGAGAGACACGATAGCCGATAGGGTGTGAGCACGGAGTGCATTCGGATAGATAGATAGATAGATAGATAGATAAGATAGATAGAGATAGATAGATAGAGATAGATAGAGATAGATAGATAGATAGATAGAGATAGATAGAGAGAGAGAGAGAGAGAGAGAGAGAGAGAGAGAGAGAGAGAGAGAGAGAGAGAGAGAGAGAGAGAGAGAGAGAGAGAGAGAGAGAGAGAGAGAGAGAGAGAGAGAGAGAGAGAGAGAGAATTCATACCTGAGTGTGGGCATGTGGCAGCTACAGCCGCTGGGAATAACATCTTTGAGTTTCTGTTGATGTCTGTCTCGTTGGTGTGCTTTGCACGTGTGGTGTGAACTTTGGGGACTTGCATGTTGCGATTTCGGGATCAAATTGAGTCGGATCATTGCATTTGTGTGCATGTGAAAATATAGATATTTATGTCTATCCAATTATGTGTATATGCACGTGTACTTGTAGTCATGTATGTCTTTGTGTGTATTTGTAGTGATGTATGCGTTTGTGTGCATGTTCATGCGTCTGAGATAATGTGTACACTAGCATATGGATGTAACATAGTAATTTACTAATTGTCACACATGTCGAACGCTTATTCTTTGCTTGAAAACTGTCTATGTGAAGAAAAGTGGTTGGAATGCTGTTCGATTGCTGGTTGTGACTTCATTCTATGCTTTACTGCAGGGAAACAGGGGCGGGGAAAACTACTCTGCTTCGTGCGATATCTGGAGAGGATACCCTAAAAGTCAGCGCAACAGGGCCCGGAACGGTAAGAATATTCCCATCTGAGCCATCTGTTTTTTTGTTTTTTTTCCCCCTGCCCCCACCTTCTCTTTTCCCTTCTAGTGAGAGGCATGCTTGGAGGCAAAAAAAATGTCAAAGTGTTGTGGCTATACTTGCGGAAATGCGACTAGCACAGTCTGGCAGGGAATGGACTGTGTGGATCCTGCCACCATCCCAGGACGGGAGTGCAACATGTTGGCTGTATGAGATGAGCAGCTGTCAATTCGCTTTTGTATTTTTTTAACCGCCAGGACCTTTCCCAGCTATGGGCCACAGGCCTTGCTCGCCGAGTTTTGGCGGCGCATCTGATCGCCGCCGGAGGCCGATTGTGGCCACCGTGATAACCCGCACGTTTCGGCAAGTTGGCTGGGAAAAGTACTGGTGGTTTAAAAGGACACCTAGTCACTGAACTAACATAAGGTACTGCTGAGTAGATCTGGCAAGTCTTTGTCCTCTCCGAGAATTCTAAGTCGAGGTTAATTGTTGTGTACCCTCCCCCTTCCCCTCCTCCACCATTTACAGTGGATGTCCTAGTTACGCTGTGACAGGACTACCGATAGGTCCCTGGGCAACGAAAGGACGACAAAAAGCAGAAAGGAAAAACCAATCCAAAGGCCTGGATCCGAACAGAGTGGGACCTCTGCCGCATTGTTGGGTTCATTTGTGATAGGTTTTTTAGAGGGGGGGGGGAGGAATTGGACTACCACTCGTGTCGAGGGGCAGGGAAAAAATGGAATGCCCACATATGAACTATTTCGAGTGTTCTGCTAAGGGATGAGATGTCTGCCTGAGGGAGTCATGTATCTGTGATATTATTGGAGATATTGAAGTGGCTGGGATGAGATGTCTGCCTGAGGAAGTCATGCATCTGTGATATTGGCTGGAGACATTGAAGTGGCGTTCGTCTTCATCCTTCATATCTTTGTCTGAATAGTACACACCTTCACACAGCATGCGGCATGCTCACCTTAGGACTCTTGAGGAGGTATCTGATCGTGACTTCAGCCAGATTTGGCCGAAAAGCTTGAAAAGAAAGTCTGAGTATGCCGTTAGTTGAGTTGGGAGAGTTCAAACAACACTCACAAGTGCATCTCTTTGCTTCAAGAAGTGCTGATCTGTTGTCTGTCATTTACTCTTTGGTGAATGAATGTGCTTTTTTTTGGAATGTCGTTTACAATTCTGTGATGGGTGAGAAGACACGGGAAGTGGTCGTACGTCTACCTTGTGGGATTCGAATGGTAGACACTCCTGGTTTTCGAGTGCCGCTTGTGCTTGGCAAACCTCGTCCCACAAATACTCAAGGAAACGACTATGTCGGGTTGTCCCTACAATGGGTGCGCGAGTTTATATCATGGAAGACAATGCTTCGAGAACTGGCATCTCGGCTTGGCTCGCAAGATCCTGAGCACCGGCCATTTGCACTTATCTACTGCCACCGAACTGGACACCGGGTAAGCCAGCATCTGCATCTCCTTTGTGCCCCTGATGTTGTGTGTGTCCTTGCTACCTTCTTGTTTCCTGTGAAACCCCATGAATTGATCGATAGCAACAACTACCCAGTGATGTGGGTGAATGGTACACTCATGTAACTGTTAATAATAAACAACAGATCATGAGTTCAAGTCCAAGTACAGTCGCAGTTCAAATCCTGATGGAATCCTGGAACCAGATAAATACTCTTAGTGTTGGGGGCTAGCCCCTTAAAACCACCACTAGCTTTCCCAGGCAACATCGAGAACCAAAAATGTAACATTTCAAAGACTTCGGATGAACAATGCTACCGGACAAAAATGGCGGGTGGCGCAGCAAAAAGGAAAAGCAAAATGTTGCACCAGTGTCTTGGCAATGCGAGGCGCACAGGGGGAATCTGCCCGGCAAATAGAGGCTCGGAGGTAGTGGTGGTCTAAAAAGAGAACAAGCAATGGGGGACCGTTCGAGGGGGACTTCAATCAATATTAAAGCCCTAAGGTTACAACGCAGGGCCGTGAACTTGAGCTGTGATATGCTTGTCTTGTGCAGAGTGTGCTTCTGCATGCATCCTTCATGGACCTGGCCACCACCACATGGCCCATGTCCGTGACTCTGACGAGTGGAAACTGTGGAATAACTGATGGCATCAGCACGATTCTCTACTCTGTGGTGGATCCGTTGCCCACCGTTGTGGCAGAGAAGGGAACTTAGGGGAGTGTGTTGGCCTTTGTCGCCATCCCACCCCACTTGCATCAACACACAAGTTCATAATAAAGTCGACCTTACTCTTTAGCAGATGTCAGGCCCACACTAACCGTTATCATGAGCTAGAGAAGCCTCCTAGGCGGTCGAAAGATTTCAATACTTTCCAGGCATGCAAACAGTTTGTGTAGGGGCTTTGCTGCTGGGGCAGAATGTCAAAATGTTAACCTTGGAACATGGTAACCGCCCGGACGTCCGGACCGGTGTCTGGTGTCTGGTGTCCAGTGTCCGGTCCCCATGTCTGGATGGAGGCCCCTGGGGCAAAAATCAGAAAAAAAAATGGGGCGGCCCAGGACGTTTGTTGGGTCCTAGCCGCCCCTTGAAAAATAACGGGGTGATTTTTAACTGTCGTGGCCTAGAGATCCAGACACAAGACACTGCAGGTTTTTGAGGTGGCGGGTTTCGCACAGGCCCAAGCCTGTCTCTTATACACATCTAGATGTGTATAAGAGACAGGAGAGAGAGAGAGAGAGAGAGAGAGAGAGAGAGAGAGAGAGAGAGAGAGAGAGAGAGAGAGAGAGAGAAGCTGTGATCAAGTGAGGGGTGATGAACAGCTCTAGCTCTAGGTTTAGCGTTTGCACAATCGGCAGAAGTGGAGAACAGCCATAGCTAGTAGGCCGTGTCTACTGCTTTAGTCTCCGGTAGACTTTCGTGAAAACTGCCAGTTAGTGGTAGGGGTGCAGAGCAGGGGTCAACATCACGTGGATGGCGGCTGGCTGATCGATCTGTCATAGCCCTCAGATCAAGTGGAGCCAAGCCCATGGGAGGTGAGGTGGGGGTTGGCCAGGGAGAGACTGAGCACCTGGGAAACAATGTGGCACTTCTTTTGCAAAGCTCCATTGCCTGTCTGCTCGTTTGTGGGGCGTTGTTTGTTGTGTTATGAACGCGATAAACTTTAACTGCGTCCCATTCACAGCAATCTAACAACTCGAACTGAAGCCAAGCCAAACTCTTGAAGTAAAAACTGTTAGAAAGGGGCAATCACGCCAGCGTACATGACAAAAACTGAAAAAAGTGATATCCACTTGGGTGGCATGCTGCAGTGACCAGTTTGCAATAAACAGCACTCAAAACTGTGCGGTGTAGAGCCAGAACACACTGGCTATGGCTGTGCCCAAGCCCTCTCCTTCAGCTGCCAAGATTTGTGCTTCTTCTGCTTCTTCTCACTCCAGAAAAATCACGAACTGGAACTGAATGAACTGTATGCCTAGCTTGTCACTTTATTGTGCCAATTTAACCTACAGGGTCCTACCGTGCTCTGGCCTAGAGAATTCTAGATGTCTAGGTCCTATAGGGTCCTATGTGTCCGAGAGCAGCTAACAGTATGCTAACTTGTAGGTCCCAGGTTCGAATCTGACGGCAGAAAACTTGGGAAACAGAAATAAACTAAACAGTCTAAACTTGCTTTTGCTTCACACTTTGGTCAGTTCTTGGGTTCAAATCCCCCTGAGCCCAGCAAATACTGTCATCTTCCAGGTCTTCTTGCCTGAACATTGTGAGTACTCGATGTAGGTTCCATGGCGGCCTTCCTCCCTGGTTTAAAGTCTTTTGTGTGCACAACTTTGTATGCACTGTTCAATGTATTCATAACATTGTGGTGTGTGGCGTATAGTAGTACTGGCAGTGTGGTCTTGGAGAGGAACCCCATTTGCATTTCGAAACACGTTGAAAACAGGAGCAGATTTGCATGCAGGATGTGTGTGGTATTCAAAGTATTGTTTGTGCTTCGATGTTCTGGATTATGTTGTTTGCATTGTTTCTGCTGTCTGTCAATTGATCTGCTAACTCACGCTCCAGACTTTTGCAGGATTTGGTCTGCTAGCTGGCTGCAGACTTGCCATCAACACTCGCATCAAATGTACATGCATGAAATTTATCTGCTGCTAGCGTGCTGAAAGATTTGGTCTGCTAGCATGCTGCAAGTCCAAAGCTTGTCTGGTGGGGTTCACTATCCTTGCAGTGGAAGCCACAACAGACCTGCTTATCCTTGTGGTTCTCAATTTTCTCGATATGAAATGAGGCAGCCCAACTTGCCTAGTACGTCGAGTCACTGCCGCTGACCCGTCAAAGCTGTAGTTTCCCGGTTCTGAGTACATGACCGAGTGTAGACGACAGAGCTATGGAATCACAGTAATGATGACCACTTCAACACTTCCAGAACTAGCCAAAGGTAAATTAGCATGCAGGGAAGAAGGCTGACTGGGAACTTAATAGTTAGTACTTGCCCAACAGGGCACATATAGATTATCCACATACCCACAGCCCCGAAACACATGCTCAGATATCCAACCGCATCACGCTCTTGGGTTTCTTCTTTCTTTCTTTAGAGGCAAGGAAGCCTCGAAATGCGCAGTGCCCCCGAACACAAAGAACCCTCATCGTGGGGCCATCCAGTGTATGTCCGAATGACCACGATAAACCACAAGTACACTGTTCACGCAAACTTTTGACATCGAAAGTGAGTCGTTCTGAAAAGCAGGGGGCGAGCGGAACTTTTTTTTGTCCTGCACAGCGCCAGTGCCCACCCTAAGGTATGGGACTCGTGATGGGACAAAAAAAAAAAAAAAAATTCCGCCCACCCCCAGGCCCGCCCTGGGGCGAGTTCCCTAACTTCTCGGAACGGCTCATTTTTGACATCACAAGTTTTGCCTGGGGATTGTACTTGTGGTATAACGTAGCAATATTTGCCATGAACATTTTGTTCTCTCAGCAGCGTTTCAAGCTTCAGCCGGCACTTGCAGATATCCACTTGTGGAGAGGCCATTGTGGCAATTTTGGACCGGAAAGATAATCTGTATACATTCATTATCAAGGTGCGGAAAACAGAAAAAGTGCGTTATCGGGAGAAGAGGGTCGTGTGCAAGGCTGAGGGCACTCCATGGGCTTTTCCCTGCCTGACTTTTTTTGTCCTCCATCCCGGACACAGTATACTCTTCCTCAAGTCCGTCCACTTCAAAAAACCGGTTTTTTCTCTTTCCTCGATTCCAAATCTGGCTCCTCTTTTTCATTCCGAACTCGTTCAGAACTTCCCAAGCTTTTTCCGGAAAAGAGAGAAAAGAAAAAGACTGTGACATCGTCAGTTTTAGGCTGCCCAATCTCTGTGTGCTGCTGTTGGTTTTTATGCTTATTGGATTGCTTGGTTCGTGCAGCTACGGTGGAGAAGAACTCAAGCTCTGCTTCGGTGGAGATATGTTGAACAACACCAGTTGTGTTTGGGTCTCATTCCTGACTTGGTTTCATTTCATTTGATTCCTGACTCTGAAACAGATTATCAGAGAGCGCATCATAGAAATTTTGCGACTGCCACATCAACGGCTGGTGAGTAGTGCAATATTTGGTTTAGGGTTTATGACCCAGTTATCCTTAACTGCGCACTAGATCCCCCAAGCAGTGCAATCCCCCTTTTCCGTTCTCAACGTCGTTCCACTGCTTCTGGTGCAGGGTTGTTTTCATTGCAATTCTGCTGAAATTATGTGTTATTTTGACTATGATGATATGTATAGAGAGAGAGGTTCTGAACAGGGGGAGTTGAAAGGAAGAAGATTAAAAAAATGAATTTATTTTTCTTTGTTTTCTTTCTGTTTTCCTTTCGCTTTTGCGCTCTGACAACTTTGTGACATGTTTTTCTCTGGCTTTTGCGCTGTGACAACTTTGTGACAATATTGTCCTCTTCTCTCTCTCTGCCTACAGTTTGCCGGGTAGCTCTGTTTGACTATACGAAACAGTTTGTCACAGCCCCTCGTTTGTTGTCCTCTTCTCTCTCTCTGCCTACGGTTTACCGGGCAGTTCTGTTTGTGACGATATATATATATAAAACAGTTTGTCACAGCCCCTCGTTTGTTGTCCTCTTCTCCCTCTCTGCCTACGGTTTACCGGGCAGTTCTATTTGTGACGATATATATATATACTCGTCTTATGAATCCGTCGCTGATGTGCTCAACCACCATGCACTATGGAATCACCATTGGGGTTATACCCACACTGATACCCTGCCTTACCTATACTATGTGTTGAAAGCCCACAAGTCTCCTCCAGCTCTTCGCAGCATTCTTGGAGTCACAGCACAAAATACTTGTCATGTCCCCCCACGCACTCGCTCTCGTCCTTCTATTCGCACCATTCATGAACGGCCTCCTCACAAACCCTTGGCTAGCACAACGGCTACTTCATCCTGTCTCAGCACTGCTTTGCAAGGCGTGATCTCTACTCTTCGTGAGAAAGACACTGAGCTCTATCAACAGGAAGGTGTTCGACGGTGCTGGATCGTCCAGAGTGCCGATGAGGTGGCGATTGACCTGAAAAACAATGTGTCCTCTCTACGTGGCCTYTCTCCTCGCACGGTTGATTTCACCACAATGTACACCAACCTTCCTCATGACCGCATTTTGAATAATGTGGCAAAGGCTGTTGATGAAGCTCATGCTTATGCTCTTCAGCATACCCGCATGCATTCGCGCTGCAGAGCCTTGAACATGTTCATTCGCGGGCCTTGCTCTGGCCGATGGACAACCAATTCAGGACCAGAGAGCCTTTCCGTTTCTCAGATTCTCCAACATCTTCGCTTTGTTGTAGAAAACACTTTTCTGTACACTAGAGATG